TTCATAAAGAGGGAGAGAAATAGAGGTAATTAAATTGTAGGTCAGGACAAGTACCTTAATGTGTTATCAATTCGTAAAGTGCTGGAAAATAAAAAAAAAAAGGAAAAAAAGAACTAATACCTTGACTGAATCAATCAGATGCATGGCAACACAAAATTCTTCTACGCTAAGCCGTCCATCCTTATTATAATCTGATAAATTCCAAATTTCAGCTAAGACGGAATTCGGCAACTGGCTTTGTGCCAAAATATTTCTGAAATAAATACCTGGTAAGTAAAAATTGGAGAATGTTATGTTAAAATATCATTTTCAAAAACAAACGAAGTTAAACACTTCAAAAACCAATACAACACAATAACATTTGATATTCGGAATGTTTCTCAAATGCTTACCTTGCATGGACACCACTGAGTGATCCAATTCTGGTTTTGTCAAGCTGATTAAATTGCTGACAATATTTCAATTTGTTATGATGCGGTATTGTCCAGTCACCTTGTATCTTCCCAGAAGTCATCAAATTTTGCGCTACAGCTGGTGGGCCTCCGCTATAAGTCATCACTGGCCTAACCATTGGCGTTTGAGTGATCAGTGGGGGAAGTGATGGGGTTATTACCATCGGAGGCTGTAAAAAATGAGTTAGAGAAATGATACGAGAAAAATGGATATATATCAAAAAATTAATCTAGAAAAAAATTCATGTAAAATACCTTTAAGGAGACCGGAAGAGTTGGTGGTAACGTTGCACCAGCTAATACCGCACGAATCAAATGCATGGCAATCGAAAACTCAATTCGGTCCATCTTACCATCCTATAAAATTTGACCAGTTTTGCAAACGACACACCAGAAATACTGAATCCACATAATGGTGCCGAAAAATTATTCTCGAACCGATTATATTAAAGTGAATCCAATTAGTATTTCGAACGAAAAGAAACGCCCTTACCTTGTTGTAATCAGCCAAATGCCACACCTGAGCCAGAACTGCTGGTGGAAGACCAGATTTCATGAATAAGGGTCGTGCCTGTTCACCGGAAACGAATCCATTTACTGGATTAAGAGACGAGAATTGGATATCATTTTCTCGCATTTCTGCTTCAGTTATTACCCACGGTGTACCACTCATTGTCTAAAACAAACAAATAAACAAAGAAAAAAAGTGAACTAAAATCTAACTTTCAAAACTGCATTCATCGACTTCGTGCATTATGAAAGGGTTTTTTTCTTTTAAAAAAAAAAGTCATCCATTAAAATACGCTGTACATAAAAATTGCATAAAGCAAATCATTCAATAAAACAAGTCATAAGTCAGAGTACAAAAACATGAATCACAAAAGATTCATGCCTCTACTCCCGTTCTCACATCAGTAATTCAGACACAATGAAGAACTGCACCATTTAAGCCTAAGTTAAGTATGCCCGAAAAAAGAGAGGCAATTCAATGATTCACTAGATGATACAACATTACACCGTGCTAGATAAAGCCCTATCCATAGATCTGTGTTCTTGAAAATGACCAATAACGCCAGTTGTCTAATGATTTCATTTAGTCCGTCTGTCACATATGCTCTTTTGATGATTCCATAAAAAATTTCTTCTTAAAATTAGAAAAAAAAAGTATTGGCAAGAGCTACTCCGCCTATCTGGAAGAGAATGGTCGTTTTACATTAGGGCGTATTCTCCCACCCCCCCCAATCTCACTTCATCGGAAGCAACGAATGTTTGTTTACAAACTCTTCTTTTTTCATCGAATTATTGGCTGGCAACTATATGATTTACCTTTCTTTTTTTCCACTTTCTCTGTTTATCTGTCCACGTTTTCATTCCAGTATGGAAAATGTTGACGAATAGTCTTATTTGTTATTTCTGTTCGCCTGTCCACGTTTTTCATTCCATCACACGAGTAAATGTTCACACATATAAAGCCTAATAATTTGAATGAGATAAATAATATTAATAAGTGATAATAAAGCATGTCTACATACTTTTCATTCATATTACACCAACCAAAATTTAATTAAACGTTTATCCATCTAATTCGTGCTTAATTTCTACATTTGTTTGTCCGGATTTTTTGATACGAATTTCCCTTCCGTTCTTTCCGTCTGTCCAGCCATATCTTCCACTGTTAATCACTGTTAAATGACGTAAACAAGCGATTCTGCAGCAGATTCTACGCCGGAAGTATGAAATATCAGAAGTCGTCATGGAACACACGCACGCGTCAATTTCTAACGTTATTTTCGGTTGTTCCCATGTCTCAAATTATTTATGTTCGTTTTATCTTGCTTGAAGTTGTATTATCTGTTGGGAGATTTTTGTAAATCTTAAAATTTCAATGCTAGAATCTTCTCATTCATTGTTGAAAATATCTGAAATTGTATGGATATCAAGTAGTACATACGTTCAAACAATTACAGAATAAATATTTCGATTTGTATTTGATAATTCTATGATAAAACATATCTGATCATTTTCAAGGTTAGATATTTTTAGGTAACGTCATGAATACTCTCACTTGATAGTCATATAAATTGCCATCCTAACATTGATGCAATTCATCTAATTCTATAGTAATGTAACAAACCGTGTGTGATGTCATTAACAAAAGGAAATTTTTAAGGAGTCAAAATTATCATTGTTAGAGAATTAAATCGAACTAAAAAACAACGAGTAAAAATAAGCCGTTAATAAATCTAAACAATGAGATGATCTAACGGATTTCTCCGCAGTTCTGACTGGCTCAAAGGTACTTAATGCATGGATGTTTGTGTATGTATATGTGTGTGTGTTTGTGTGTACATGTGTTTGTGTATATGTATGTATGTATGTAAGTGTGCTTAAAGGATATATTACTCGTAAAGAATATTGAAAAGGAGTGGAGGAAAGGAGAGGAGGGAGGAGGGGGTGGCAAGATTTGGTCGATAAAATGTAGTGAAAATGAACGGGTGAGGTGCTTTTAGCGTATACTCTGAAGAGCATTCACAATTCGTCATCTTGAAAACGGCAAATGCATTGAGAGAAGTTTAGACAGCCACAAATCAAAGGGGTATGCATGGAAATTATAAATTTAAATTAAATTGACGTCAAAATTTTAAGCAATACGGAAGGTAAGCAAAGGTAGTATGATACAATATGATAGTGAACAGTATGTATTTTCAGGATATTTCGATCAAACATATTTTTCATTAATTGAGGTCAACCGTAACGGTTTGTTTATCTTTGTTTCTTACCGCAATGATGATGTGCAAATTGTTTGCCCACTCATGTTGTTGTATTTTGTCAAATGAACATATTGATTGAAATCTTGATGAACTGATTCCATCCATTATATAACCTTTCACTTCTTAATAATAACTATCTCTTAGTTGTATAGGTGTAAATTTTGATCGATCCAAGGTTTCATTTTTATTTTGGTGGGTTATTGCCACCTACTTCGACAAATTGTGCGTTTACTTTTCAAATGTTTGAAAAAGTGTTGCGAGAATTTTCTGAAGTTGCGCAGTTTGATACAAGATGTGAGATTTTATTAAAATTTGTGCTACTTATCTTTTGATAAATGTTGGGCAGTTTTTCTTTTTTCTTTTTTTTTTATCGAAACTGAGGTCTTTCAATCCATTATAAAAAGGCGTAACTTCCTCTAAGATTTTATGAATTCCAGTGACTGTTATCATTGAAGAATTTCTAATTTTCAGTTCCTCGAAAGTTTCAACGAATTTTCAATTTAAACTACTACGTTTATTACTACACTAGCAGATTTTTCACCTGGGTTGCGTAACAATTCAGTGATAATGCCATTATTGTACCAAATTTTTGGCG